GGAGCGCAGTCTTTAATAATCGAGCGAATTAAAAAGTTTACCGAACGTGTTGCCTACTACACTGACATGACCGTCAGAATTTTATATATATTTTTCTATAGTTCCCTCTGATTGGGTTTGACTGGTTGGATATAAATATATTCATTTATATTTGTACATCCAATTATTTATTTATTTATTCAACACTGTTTTATGCATTTTTTTCTTCTTTCCTAATTATGTTATCAAGTAGTTTTAGTCTTCGTATAATTTTGCACATCTCTTACTAACTACTGACTACGGGTCCATTTTAAAAAGAAAAATTCATATGGACATATATCCTAAACCTCTCAACTTTTGAGATACATTGTGTTAAAGTTTTCAAAAATAAATAGTATATTAGGCAACAAGTACGGTAAACGGTATTATATAGTATATGTAATTAGGTATTTTATAGAAGGGAGTAGAAAATAGTATATTATGCAACAAGTGCGGTAAACGGCATTTGACTCACGAGTTTATTTGACCCGAGCGGGGCGCAGCGGAGCGAGTGTTTAATATACGACTGACTTAAAAAGTTTACCGAAGGTGTTGCATACTATACTTTTTCTACGACCGTTAGTTTTTGGGAACATTTTCGCAAATCAAGACGAATACATTCAGTAACATGATGGTCAAAATTGACAAACGTCAAAATTCAAGGCGTGGGAAATATGTGGGAAAACATCCGATCGCTCCCAAGCCCGTGCCGTAATATCCCGAAAATATCCGAAGTGGCTCGGATCCATGAGAAAAGAAACTGACACGGAAAATGACATTTTCCGTACGCTAGGTGTGTGTATAATTGGTATGTTACAGAAGGGAGTAGAAAATAGTATATTATGCAACAAATACGGTACACGGCATTTGTCTCACGAGTTTATTCGACACGAGCGGAGCGAGTGTTTAATATACGACTGACTTAAAAAGTTTACCGAACGTGTTGCATACTATACTTATTCTACGACCGTTAGTTTTAGGGTATATTTTCGAAAAACAACACGCATACATTCACTGTGCGGTTACAATCCCAGAAATGTCCGAAGTGGCTCGGATCCGTGGGAAACGAAACTGACGTGGTAAAGTGACGCTTCCCGCACGCTAGATCGGCTTATAATTAGGTATTTTACAGACGGGAATAGAAGAAAAAGTATTACAGTAGTGGCAGTTTCAGTCTCAAAATTTTATTTTCAAATGGGATATTATTTACGCCTGGTTCAATTTCAAATTACACGAAACAGTCCAAAACTTTATACTAAAAAGACACAAGACACGTTAGAACATTGTTTTGGTTGATGTAATGGAAAATATAGAGATAAAATAAAAGAATTTTAAAACATAATACAAGAGGAGAAAAAGAAAAATTATAATATATACACTCAATATTCTCTACAAAATATATTTATCCTATGAAGAAAAAAATATGACAGTAAAAAAAATGTTGGATGTCATGCTTTTCGAATTTCTGCTCCATATTGACCAATTTTTCCGAACGGGTTTTTGTTGAATTGGGCAATCGATGTAGTTGTTGTGCCCGATTGATATTTCGTCGTCAGTTGTGACTCAATTTAACTGTAAGTGAAAGCCGAACAATAGCCACGTAAAACCATCCGTTAGGCGGACTTTTCCGTGAAATCGAACTGTTTTGTATTACTTAAAAGTGTTCTTATGTGTTCGCATTCCGAACCGCTCGTAACTCACTACCCTCTGGGGAAACTCCAGAGTAATATTGATTTAGCTGGATTCACTTATCGATAAATGGATTTGGATACCTGAGTCCCGGTTAAATTTTAATTATCCCGAAGCGATTTTTCTTCGGTAAATTCATTCGCCCGCTCGTCTCGGGGAATAAAAATTTTGGCTGACATTTTAAGATTACTTCGCAAACTTGTAATTTTTTTTCCAAGCGCCTTGCGAATTTTGAGTTAATCCAGCGAAATGCATAAACGAAGCGGGAAGAAAGAAAGGAACAATAGACACCATATGGTTTCAGACAGTGTTAAATGAATTTTATCGACTTGTATTCCCCCCCATAAATCAAAGGATCCACTGTGTTCGCGTATATCAGCTCGCGTTTCCCTTAACAAGATTTCGCCTTATCTGACAAGATATACAATGTCTGATTAATGAAACGAAAACAGTACATTGGCTGCAAACTTTAATGGCCAATACGAGACACAACGGCTTTGCTAACATGTATATATTTTTAATTGGATTATGGCAATTTTCAATAATTAAAATAATAATATTAAGAGATTTTTAAATTAAATTCAACAAAAACGTCTTCTTCTGCTTTACCCAAAACTACAGCTAAACAATTCTTATGCCATATAAATTGAAAATTGCTGACTACACTTCTCTGAATAATATAATATGCAATTCGCAATACAAAAATATACGATAAAAAATGTGACAATAATAAAGAAAAATTAAAGAAAAAGAATAAAGAAGAAGTGTATCCCAACACAATCCAAATCTCATTGACTTCATAATGGCAAGAAAGCTACAATTTTATGAGGTCAGTGGAAACAGCTCAAAGCTAATATATATTTTTTTATCAAATGGAACCTTGGACACTGTTTATGGTGGTGGGACCTCTGATAGTGCTCTTACCTTTGCTGTTAATATATTAGTAATATTAACAAAGCAAATAAAAATAAAAAATATCTTCCTGCCAATGATAGAACAAAAGTTTTATAAATATATCGAACATCGAAATAGGAGTTCATACACCCAAGAGAAAAAAAAACACAATAATTATAAAATTGAGCATATAGAATTCTTTGGGAGTTTACTTTGATCCAAAACTCTCATTTGAAGCTCACATTAACGTGGCTTCCAAAAAAACCGTATCAATGATGATATGTTGATATATTTTGCATTGCAGAGAAGGTTAATAAGCATAATATAGGGGTCATCATATAGATCTGCTTTAAAAAACACGAAAACTGGGAGTCTTAACAATAACTTGCAAGTATATATGCGAATGCTTAGTTTACAAAAAAGAACTTATAGGTAATTATTGGGGAAATCTAGGTATAGCGTAAACAAATAGAACAAATAGAACTAAAGATTATTTAAACAGTGGGATAAAGTATAATAATTTTTAAAAATATCGCCATTTAATGTAAAATTTATGTCCTATGATGAAAATGCTTTGTATTTGTTAAGACCAACTATTTAATTTCAGGAAAAAGATCTGTCAAGCTCAGCCGAACCATACAGAGGTGTCAAAATGACCTCTGGTTTTCTGTTCAAAAAAACAATTTTGTTTTAAACGTACTGGGGACTTTTAGTAGTTACAACATTTTGACAATGCAGTGCACTGTGAAAATTAGCATTATACAAATATTATATATACATCATAGTAATTGAGAATTGACTTCCGAATTCCACTTTTGTAGTCCTCCAAAAGTTTTGGTTTCTTTCTATTAAACCGCCTATTATTCTCAAGTATTTATCAAAAATTCGTTAAATATTTATTTAGTATTGATTGTAATTGCATAAAAATCTTTATTATAGCAGAAGATCAGCTTACCGTATTCACAATGCACTTAGTAGATGTAAACTCATTCTTGATTCGATGTTTCGGGTTTGGTGTTGGTTAACGCACTGTTTAAAATGATTATTGACTTGAAATTTAGTTTTGAATATATTTTTTTACTCCTAATGTGAATTAGTACTTTATAGATGTACGATTGGATCTGTGTCCATCCACTTTATGGAAGATTTTGCTGAAGGATCTTGGTTTACGTGCTTACAAAATCCAACTCGTGCAAGAATTGAAGATCATCAAGTAAGGAGTAGATTCTTCAAAAACGATGATGACCAGAACGTTACAGTCAATGGTGATCGGTATAGAGTTATGATTACTAACTCTTTTATTCCTGAATTGAATAACCATGATGTCCAGGAGATGTGATTTCAACAAGACGGCGCAACATGTCACACAGCTCGTGCCACAATCGATTTATTGAAAGACACGTTTGGTGACCGCCTAATTTCACGTTTTGGACCTGTGAATTGGCCTTCAAGATCTTGCAATTTAACACCGCTAGACTACTTTCTGTGGGGCTATGTAAAGTTATTAGACTATGCGGATAAGCCACAAACGCTTGACCATTTGGAAGACAACATTCGCTGTGTTATTGCCGATATACGGCCACAAATGTTCGAAAAAGTCATCGAAAATTGGACGTCCAGATTGGACTACATTAGCACCAGCCGTGGCGGTCATATGCCAGAAATCATATATAATATGTAATGCCACAAGATTGTCTTTCGGATAAATAAAATTCATGTCAATCGAATAATCCATCGTTGTTTTATTGCAACTTGAAGTTCTATACATCGAAAAAAAAACACCCCTTAGATATTATTACGTAATTGGTCACGTTATTCTTCAATCTATACAAAGCTCTGTATACTTTTCTTTCAATTGGCTTAGCAGTGTCATTAGATATTAACCTATGTTTCTGTTTAGCGAGTATCTATTCAACCATTCTTACAGCAGCTTCACCCTTCTTTCTGGCAAAAATCTTTATTACCCCATCATTTTCTGATGATATCCTATGTTCCTTTGTCTGGTATTTCTAGTAATGTTCCTGCTTTGCACCTCAGTTCATCTCAGTCATTCCTGGTTTAACTAAATTCTAACACCGGTAGTAAAGTTCCGTCGTTATTATTTCACGTTGGTCGATGTTGGTTAAACCAGAATGACGTCAGTGGCCGGTCCAAATAGCGAAATTAGACTGCCATTATCTTTTCAATGTCGGACGCTTACAAAGGGAAATTAATTAACTCTATAAGTAATTCGAGTTGTTGTACGTTACCCCGGGAAACGGAATGCTGCTGCCCCTAACCTTTGTTAACTGAAACAATATTTAACATGTCGTCGTTTGAAACGACGTGAAAATGGCGCTCATTTAAATGTAGTTACGCTAAACCGAGTGCGAAAGTAAAATCAGCGTTTTCAATTCCAGAAATTCTCGGAGTCCAAAGGTTCGAGCAACAGCCGACCTACACGGAGGTGAACCCGGGCCAGGACGCCATCTTGGCATGCAAGGTCCACAACAAGAGAGGCTCGTGCTCGTGGCAAAAGGACAATAAGGTGAGCGCTTCACAAACTGGGAGTTTATCGGTTAAAAAAAAATCTTAAAAAAAAAAAATTATAATAACTAACGCAATTTTTTACGTCGAGCTCGAGCGTAATTAATTAGGAGCAGCCTGATGTTTATCCTTATTAAACGCGTACAATTATTTTTCATTTATCTTTCCTAATGGTTCGGACGGCGTCATTAAATTTTATTAAATACTTAATTTCGCCTACCTGAGGGTAATTTGTGTTTCGTGTTGCGTAATTTTTTTCTGGCTCCGGGAGAGATTTGCTTTAAACGAGACCACTCTCGAAAGTTGCGGTTTTAATTCGGTGGTTGAAATATATTTTTGAACCCGTAGCGCGTCTGCCAGAGTCCAGCCGTAGTATCACCAGGAATGCATTACCTGCTGACCAAAATGGAAACGGAATCACCATCCACACCATCGTGACCGTATAAAAAGTGTCACTCTTTTTTCAACAGTTATAATCTCCAACATGTGATGCGGACAAAATTAATCTCATAATGATTGAGCTCGTCTTCGCCCTCCAACCGACGCATATCAATCTACCCTTTCTAAGAAACTACTGATTTTAGAAAAATAAGTTTATTCAAAAGTTTTATGGTTTACGTTAGATTTTAAAATTATTTACTTTTTATATATACAGGATGTCCGATACGTGCTGGACTGACATCAGTTTAAAAATTTTAAATGAAACACCCTATATATTTTGATAGTTTTAGAATTCTTGCCAAAAATAAAGAAACTATATAAACTATACTAGCTATAAAAACTATATAAAAATATAGAAACTATTTCTTCAAATTTTGTGTAGCTTAGACAGAAATTATATATATTTTTTATGCAAAATTATGTTCTTGGTAAACATGGTCCTCCGTGGCTGGCTGTAATGGCTATTTGTTTATATACAGAGTGTTTTAAATTAAAAGCTTTTTTTTAATTTCAACTTGCAGTGTTCAATTTTTTTTTAAAGTAAAATATTTATATCTATCTATATATCTATAATTTGGTATATATCTCCTGCACCTAAATCTAATGGTATTCGAAATATTGACACCTAATTATTTTAAAGAATTTAAAAAAATCATATCATTTTTATTTTTTAAATAATTTAAAGGATTTTTGCAATGGGTGAAGGGCCTTTTTTATAGTTAAGGTAATACAGAGATTTATAAGTTTACGAAATTAAAACGTCATCATTTTTTATATCGTGAACGATGTAAAGTAATATGTATAATTACGATAGAAGTTTAAAAATTGAAAACAATATATATGTAACAAATGATAGGTATTTTAACCCGCTTTAAGAGAAAATGTCAAAAACATGGGCGTCTCATTTAAGAAAAATGAATACTTAGTTGAAATTTTAAAAAAAATTCCTTTAGTTTAAGACACCCTGTATAATTTTAAAATACCTAGTCATCACAGATCGTTAGGAGAAAATCTTCTTAAAATGTGTTTAAAATTTGATCAAGTAGTCGAGTATATCACGTATTTACTAAGAACATAATTTTTAATAAAAAATATATACAATCTCAAATAATTACGTCTGAAGGATACTAAAAATGTCAAAAAAAATATATGGTGGTCCGCTTAAAATTTTAAAACTAATGTTGGTCCAGCACTTATCGGACACCGTGTATATACAAAAATTAAATAACTTTAAAATTTAATTTAAGCCATAAAACTTATTTTTTCTGAAAACAGTAGTTCCTGAGTGCCTACTCGGTAAGTAAATAACTTATTTAACAAAAAAGAAAGTAATTCATCAATCAATCAATCAATATGGCTTTAGGTCGAACCATAGCACAGAAACTTTCCTTTTAAACGCTACTAACAACATCGTTGACGCACACGACGATAAATTTAACGTACTTAGTTTTCCAAGATTACAGTAGAGGTTTCGGCCTAATTCAGAACTATTAAAATAGTCGAAAACTGCAAACGATATTTGACAACTCAACACCTGGCTATCGTAACGTTAATAAACGAGTACCACAAAGAAGTATATTAGGGCCTAGAGCTGAGTTTTATACCACATTGTAATATTGCAGCTGACAGAAAAATTTATATTTCATTTTCCAATTAATAAAGCTGCATGGTTGAAATAATATTATGTTAACCTCAACCGCACCCTTTGGTTCCGAATGAAGATAAAATCAACGTATTGTCTTTGGAAAATAACCCTACCCCCCATAACTTAATTTTTAAAATTTAATTGAACAGGAAATCTCTTTCATTAACCAACAGTGTTAACAGTAGTATTTTTCATAGTAACAGTGACATTCGCAACAGCTACTATAAATTAAGACAAAGCACAAAAATCTCTAAATAAGGTTAAGATTTTGCGACGTGATGATGCCGAACCGTCTGAACTATGCAGTTTAGTCTATAGTCTATAGTCTATATTGCAGATGATCCAGAGCAACTTGTTTGGAACTGAAAATCAATTTTCTTAAAAAAAGTACGCAACGACTCTTTGGCACAAACAATGTTTAAATCTATCAATACTTTCTTATGCAGTTCTTCTAGGGTTAAAAAACCCTTCACTTTATAAGCGTCGTAGATTATTCGCCTGATCAGATCTGCGTGTTGCTCTTTAAAAACTCACTTTCCCACTTTCCTCTTGACTATCCCATTTGCAACAATTTTTCTTACAGTTGACTTTGGAACTTTGGTTATATCACTTGTTTTTATTGCTGCTCCTACTTCCCTTTTGCGAATTTCTTATAAAATCGTAAATATTCAAAGCAATTTGTTTAACATCCAAAGATAATTGGGTACGTTCGTTTATTTGCTGAAGTTGTTCGACTTCTAAGTTGTCATTAGATTCGACTACCATCTCCACTTCGTCTTCAAATTCTACGTTGTAGTCCATGTCCATGTTGCCTACGTTGTTGTCCACGGTCTCCACATTTTAAAATGTTAAAAAAAAGGAACAGGAAAATGTAAGATTCTAATAAATATTTATCTTTATTCTTATGACGTACCTTTCTTTATCTACCGCTAATATAATCTACAGTCTTAAAAAAGACTGTTGTTGTTTACAAATCGAAGAACTATGTAAAGACACAAAAATACAAGAAGAACGTTGTTAATCGACACGCACTCAAGACAAAAATGATTATTTTCAAACTTATCTGTGAGATAAATAGAGTACAGGCATTTACCCTTATATTTTGAACTAACTCTTCAGTGAAAACAGCCTCACAGGGTCAAAGCTCGAGAATCAGGCACATAAATGCGTACTTACTGGAAAAATCACAGTCAAATAAATACGTCTTTAATATATACGAACACATCGCAGTTTAGATTAAACTCTGTATCATCTGATGTTAAAATAGACGGTTCTACTTATTCGAAAATACCCAAAGCCTACTTAATGCAGAATAAACATCTGTTGTAAAATACTTAAAACGTCAACGCAATAAATGCACAATATTTGTGGTCGTACAATACTTGAAAACTGGTCAAGCAGCGGACTGCGCATATACTTGTTGGGTTACGACTGTTATTATTACTTATTGATATACTATTACTGCAAACCACAATTAAATTAAAATTATCGGACAATCCGTGTAAGTGTCCCCCGTCCCAACTATCATTACCATCCCACATTCCAATCCTAATCCATTACGAATCAAAATGAATATTTATCAGGGCGGAATAGAATACAATTTACGATCCAATAAAATGGAGAACCTAAATTGCCTCCACTCGGTCCGATATTATTGACTATCGAAATATTCGACGCTTGCGTTGCAAGTAATAAATAATTTCCCACCGGCAAGACAATTAGCAAAATTAGCCGCGCCCGGGGGGTAAAAAAGGGGGAAAACGGACCAATTCGCGGCAGATATGTAAATTCGGACGCCGAGGTTGCGCTCGTGCCAAATTGGCCTCCAAATTGCCCCCACCCCGTCGACTTCCGAACTTTCGTTTTGTTTGCATAAGCGGAAGATATAATTGCTGGTTATACATTCACCGACAAAATAAATTATCCACCAAATTTTTAATAAATTCTCTTCTCATTTACGTATTTCTTGAAATTCTAAATCTGATTTTAATTACTAATATAATAATGGGGATTGATTAAATCAAGAAATTATTTTTGATTCCTGTTGGTCTATCTTTGTATTTAAAGCAGTAGCACTTGTTTTTTAAGGAATCTGACAACCTCGATAAATATATTGAAGTACATTAAAATCTTAAGAAAAGGCGTACTACAAATAACGCTAAATTTGTTTGTTGACACGTTAATTTCGATAAAATTTATTTAAAAAAATATTCTTTCGTTTCATATTTATTAGTAAACAAGAGATGCTTCGTCAGTGGACTAGTCTAAATTATTTTTTACCAACTAAATCTAATTAAGAACTAATTACAGGGTTCTATTATGTTATTATGTTAATTAGTATACCGTCTTAAACGTCGTTTACAGGTTTCCAAGCTCAGAGCAAATAGATCAAGATTCGGAAACGCGTTCTCTATTCTGTTATAAGTACGGGCGCATCTGATAAATGGAGAGTTAGAAAAGTAAATTGAATGAAGTCTAGATACATACGCCTGTTTCGAAGAATCTAGGGATTACAATTAAAGCATATTTTTCCAAAATTCAATCAAATTGTTTTCAACTTTATATAGAAATAATAGATCAAAATTTGTTCTACGATTTTCTAAAGAAATAGAAACGAAAGTTTTCACTATAACTAAAAAAATATCCAGCCGTTCGATATATTTAAAATACTTTGGATTCCAGACTGGCGTAGCATATTCCAACACGGATCTGACATGACTGTAAAAAAGTATTATTAAAGATTTTTTATTATTAAACCCATTAGTTATGCGTAAAATAACTCGTTAGAGCCTTTTGAACTATGTTTTCTACGTGCCTCTGAAAAAGAAGTCTCAAACCCAATGTAATACCCAGCTCCAGTCCAAAAAGTTCAGTTTGTAGTTACCTAGGTAGAGATCACTTTTAATTTGCAATTG